CGGGGTTCCCGCAGCCGGGCTTGCAAGAGCTGGGGGGCCCCGGCCGGCGAGGGGGCGCGAGGAAGGGGCTTTGCTCCCCCGGCTCTGGACTCCCTCCCGAGAACACCAGAGAGCGGTTCAGGCGGACTTCGAGGAGTCCATGAAACCTCCCAAACCGCCAAGACCAGGATGTATTTATTGATTATTTATTTATTCACTGTATGTATATCGCTGCCCCTTTCACAAAGGTGACTCTGGGCGGCGTACAATAAAAAAAAAAAGCCATAAAATGAATTAACAGCCAGGCTCTCTCTCTTAAAAGGAAAGCAAAAGCGCAGTAGCGCTGGAAGCCCTTGGGGGGTGAGCAGGTGGGTCTTCCAAGAAGAGGTGGGAAGGAGAAGACAAGGCTCCCTTCCATGTTGGGGAGCTGACCCTGCAGAGGCTGTACTCTTGGCTGTTGGTCTGTCAGCCAGCCCCACTCGTGGACCCATGTGCGAGGGGAGCGGTCTTCTGCCTGGCATCAGGAAGACCCTCCGTCACCCTTGTTGATTTCCTCCTAGGCTTCTTTTCCATTCTGGGTGGGGCTTTCCGGTTGGGACAAAGGCTTCTCCTGACTAGAACTTACCCTGGCCTTTCCCTGCCTCTGAGGCTTCCTTGAGGTTTGGGCTTTGATTCGTCTGGTATGCAACCATGGTTGAGCTGACCAACACTGTGTGCTTGCTGTCAAATGAAAGTACTTCTAGGTTTCTTTACACTTTTTACCTTTGCTATGTTTTGTTTTCCCAGTCAGTAAACCCAGTCCTGCGTTCTCAGGGACCATGGTGGTATTGGCTCAGGACCATTCTTGGTGGTGGTGTTGGATCCTATGAGAAATCCATGGCACGTTGATAGGTGGAGTAAAGCATTTGGGGCTTAGAAATAGGCAAAAGTGGTGGAAGGTTAAGTTAAACTGTGTTCCTTGTTCTGTAAAATGGAACAGTCGGTGGAATTGTGAGAATTTTTCTGTCTTCTTCAGCATCTATAAATCTCACCTCCCAGTCTCTTCCCCAAGCATTTAACCTCTCTGAGCTTTATCATGGGAAGAGAATGTGGGTTTTTTCTTAATCTCTTGTTTCAAAGGTTTTCTTCCAAGTTATGTATGCATCATGAGGCTCTTTCTGTGAAATATTTTGATTCACTGATACTGCAGACCAAGATTTAGCTCTGAATGGGGGTATATACTTCCTATTTAATTTCCTCCCCTCATCTCCAGTTTTGGAGTTATGTATGAAGTGCTGATTGCTATTGGGATGATTTTTGGTGACTTACAAGTTCTGTTCCTATACATGAAATGTTTTTATTAAGCATTTACATTTCTAGTCTTTCGTAAGGTAGATATTACATCGAAGAATTTATAACATGGTCTTTTGCAGAGTCCTATTTTTGTATTGCTACAGCCTAACCTTTGCCTTGTTTGATCATAGCCAATCTCTGGTTTTAATATGGCCGTATTTTGAGAAGCCAGCTTTCAGCAACAAGCTCTGCTCTGTAGTGCTGTGTTAATAAAACCTTCCTCTTTGCATTTTTCCATGCATCCTTAATTCTCTTCCTTAGCATGTGTGCACACCCATTCCAACCCTGTTCCCTCTGGTATGAGACAGGCACGGTTGAGAGCAGAAGTCTTGAGCTGGAAATAAGGGGTGGGGAACTAGATGGAGTCTGGATGAAGTAATGTTCTCCAGAAGTCATTACTTCATGCAATCTATGAATAGCCCATTACTCACTTGCTCTTGGAGGTAGTATGAGAAGACTTGGCTTGAGTTCCACTTCTGTAAAAATGGGCTTTGGGAAATTATAAGGCGACATTTGGAATCATAATAAAAACAAGTCTTTATTAAATATACATATTTATGTCCCGCATGCCTTTGGCATACATATGCATGAGTTTCACCCCTGTTCTCATCACCTGCTTTACCAGTTATTATGCAACTTTTTGCAGATGTGAGTTATATCAAAGATTTCTCCTCTCATATGGGGAAGTGACTGTTGAGTGTCTGAGAACAGCCATATAAAGT